GGCGTGCATCACCACCAATAATTTTTAAATAAATATTTTGCAGACTTGTTATATGTCTGTCCACCCCCTCCACATACAAACTAGGGATTGAACCCAAGGCTTCAAGTATGCTAAGTAAGTAGAAATTGAACCCAGGGCTTTAATATTCTAAGCAAGCCTTCAAGCATTGGGCTACATCCCCATTCTTTCTTACTTTACACTAAGCCAGAGTCTCACTACTACATTGCCCAGAATGGCCTCAGTTTTGTGATCCTCTTTGCTTAGCCTCCCAAGCAGCTGGGATTATAGGTGTGTGTCACCACACCTGGTTCATGTGCTATTTATTTAACAGTGGCCTTTCTTGGATTTTTTCCTAGCTTTCGTATAAATTTTAATATAAAGTTAATTAAAAGAAAAATTTGTTGCTCACATTGTAAAACATTTATTTTTAAAGGTGTAGAATAATTGTGTCTATAAAGATACAAAGACATGCTTGATATAAAATACCTTTTTTCTTCATTGGATCTGAAAATTAATGTTTCTTATTGTATATACCAGGATAGTAGTGTCTAAGGTTTTGAATACTCTGCATAAGCCAGAATCCAAACCTACATGACATTACTTATGGGTCTTTTCAGTTTCTGAAATTATTCATCATAAATATGTCTAAGGCTGGATGGTACATTTATGTTCCTGAAAGAGGAGCCAGTGTCACACTTAAAGGAGATAGTTCAGTTATTAACTATCTTTTCCCCTCTTCTCCAGTACCCAGAAGTAGATTAACTATAATAACCTCATTCATGATACTCTCTCCCTATTAGCTGTGCATGGCATATTTTATTTAAATATAATTATTTATATAAATATGTAGTGAAACTATTATCTAACAGGTACACCAAAATGCTGACATAATTACCTCTCTGTTCCTCCCTCACACAAGCTTCCTGCTTTCCCCATTAAGTAACCATTTAAATCATGGGTTTATCATTTCCTTGCTTTAAAAAAAAATTATCTACTTAAAAGCAGGCTTTTCTGTTTGTCACTTACACACAGAACTGAAACAGCTAAGGTCATATCTAGAGACCCCGTTTACTGTCAAATTTGCAGTTGCCCTACATGTCAGGATCAGCATGCTGCTCCACAGAACCCGCAAGTGGCAGTGTCAGTTTTCACCACAGCCAGCAGGTCAGGCTATATTTAACATGCAACCTCTTCTCTGATAAAAAGCTGCAGCTGCAGCTCTGTTAGTCTGTGAACAAAGGAGGACAAATGGGATTCGAGAAAGGACTCTAATGGAAAGTTGTAACAGGATTCAGTTAGCTCAATCACAAATTAAATGGGACTACATTTAATGGTCTAAGACAGCCTAGTTTTACAATAGTGTAATCTTTAAAACATAACTGTGACAATTTATGTTTTAATGTTTAAAACATAACCATAACAATTTCTACATTTATTATAAAATAAGTGGTTAAATCTTTGGTCCCMAAAGTGGAGTAAATACATCATAATGCAGAGAAGTTTATAAAAAAATTACAGTTCTAAGCATACCAATTATAGCATGAATAGAAACTCATTGATAATCTGATGCTTTAGAACACACTTTTCAAGGTCAGACAATGATATATGAAGGGAGCTAAGGAAAAAAAAATAAAGGCAAGTATCAAAATTAGTCTTGAATAATTCCTTGAATGAGTATAGACTACAGCCTTCCAAGGGGACTGACTGAAAGAGAACTGCTGGGTTAAAGTCCAGCTGTTATTACCCCTAAGGTATGCTCCCTGAAGCAGGAACCATACATCTATTAAACACAAATGCTTCTGGAACTCTTTTAAGCTTGTAAAGTTGTTTTGAGGGGGTTCAAAACCACCTCAATGAAACTGAATGAGAATAACTGTCAAGTTTAGTCTTTGATACAAACAAAGGGGGATGAGTTTGAAAATAATTATAACTCACAATTTAAATTAACAGCACAATGAAGCTAAGAAAATCCCATGATCTCAAGACATAATGATAGTCTTCTGAAGAAGTAAGGTGATGATCCTAACCTATACTGAACTGACTAGAGTATGTTCCCTCTGGATGTCGCACTGTGAAAATAAACTTAAACATCAGTGAAGAGAAGGATTCAATTAATTCTGCATGATTCCAGAGGTATCAGAGTCCACATAAAACAAAAAGAAGAGCTAGAACTTCAGAGGCTTTGAGATGTTCCAAAGGAACCCAAAGAAATATAATATCACAAAGAACACTAAAGTGCTCCTCTGGTAGAAGAGGATGAAATAGAGAACATTTAAAACTTCATCTAATACTGAGAATTACATTAAGATGGTCCTAGCCCCTCTCATATAACAAGCATCTATGGAGAAAATGACATTTATGTTTTTTGTTTGTTCATTTGCTTTGTGATTCTAGTGATCAAATCCAGGGTCTTTTGCATGCTATGGCAAGTGCTCCACCACTGAGCTTCACTCACCAGTATGAAAATGGCATTTTCTTTCACTTATTCTGTATGTTCTATACTCTAACACCTCAACCCATAGGCTAATTATAAACATGATTGCTGAACTCCGAGAATCAGGAGACCTGGGTGTTAGTTAAGTCTTTACTCTCTGCCATTAACTCAAGTATATAACACTGTGTACTTTAGGCTCTGTGTAAGACTCATTCTTGATCATCTATCAAGTGTTATTAGAATATTTCCAGATGCACTCATATCTTCTCTTCTAAATGTCACGGATTTTATAATAAAATCAGGATGCTGGCCAAATCAGTAGGCTGAGGCAGGAGGATCGAAATTTTGAAGCCTGCCCTGGCAACTTAGCAAGGGGCTGGGAACATAGCTCAGTGGTAGGGTACTAGGCTAGCATATGTAAGACCATGGTTTCAATTCCCAACACTGGAAAAAAAAAAGTGTGTGTATGCGCATGCACACACACTCACAAACAGACATATAGCAAATAAAGGTGCACAGAATACATTTAGTTTTTTCTAATTAGTGCTTGACATGACTGAGTTTGTATCAAATCCTCTGACGGGTGGCAATGAGAGAATTCAATAGCCAGTCCCTGTCCTCTGTGAGGCTACAATCTGAAAATTTTCTTGATCATGTCCCCTATATAATGAATGAAGCAAAAATAAAATTGCTTTTATATAATGCCTTCAGTCCCCATCTCTTCAGATGTTCTATTTTTGCAATACATCTTCATATATTCAAAAGGTAAAATCAATTTTCATAAAACCTTTTCTAGAAATTTTAATTTGTTGTGCCCTTCTTTTCATATCACTCAATCTGTAGTAAATAGGTTCTAGGCTTTGGTCTCTTTTTAGAAGGAAAAGTATCTTCGTTTCTTTTATTAAAAAAAAAAAAAAAAAGAGCTGAAATACCATTAGAAACCTGCTCAATAAATCTCATATCTTCAGTTACAACACAAATGAGTGATGAGGATAAGATCTTACCCAAGGTTTCAGGGTGAAAAGCACTATGAAAAATAAGTTTAAAACTGCCTAAAGAAAGTATAGATAACATTTAAAAAGCCTGTGTATATATGGAAAAGCCTTTATTTCAAATTTGTTTAGCATAAAAGTGGTAGTATCTTCTGTGTATATCTCCAGGCTTCATAAATAAGCAGTGACATTTACGCCAGTTGTGCAGAGACAGCACAGCAAGATGTTTAATACCAGATCCTGCAAGTGTGACATATCAGATGCAGCTGTCAACATGTGTTCATGCAGTGAAATTTTGCACACATATTCCTAAGAATGCCCCTAACTATCCAGATATTTTTTAAAAATTCAGAAACCTGCTTTAGCACCACAAGAAATAGACCAAAAAAAAACAAACAAACAACCTGAATCAAAGTCTCAGCTCTGACACTTACTAGTGGTGTGACCTTTGGAATTTCACTATTTACCTCAGAAGTAGAGGAATTGTAAGGTCCGGGTTAGATAATGAATAGGAAATTGCTATGCTAGTTTTTGGTGTGGTTCTCTTGTCTAGGATGTTCCAACCTTCATGCCTTGAAAACCATTCTCTATTGTACCATTCATTCCCTAGTCACAGAATCATGCTTTCCCAGACATACTTCCATTTCTAAGGTAGCTTTAACTGAATAATATACAAAGTTTCATTTTTATGCAAATAACAAAGCCAAGAATAAGCTATAAAATTATGACCTGAAAATTCTATCTTTTGGAAACTCTGATTATTGAAATGATTAATTATCCTATAGTTCTCTAACTGRATTATTTCACAAAATCAGAAATTTGTATACCAAATACATTAATAAAAATAAAATTTAGAAGGGCRGCTTGGCGGGCATTGGGGGCAGAACCCATTAAAGACGCTACTCCTAAAAAAAAAGAAAAGAAAAAAGAAAAAAGAAAAAAATTTTATTTCTGTGCCAACAGTTGGTAGTAGCAACAGCAAACCAAACATCACCATTACCTGACTTGGCAAGCTATCAATTCCACAGGGGAGCATGAAGGACACTTGTATGAGTCTCTGCAAGGACAGGAATTCTACTTGAATATATTCCTAGTATTCTCTGAATCTAGCTCCATTTCTTGCAATAGATGGTATTATTCAGCAATGTTCACTGAATTAATGCCCCTGAATTCCATTCTCTAGATACTGTGATTTTATTATATGTTCAAAGGATGCCCTAATTCAGCAATAAATACTAGTGGTATATCAATTTAAAGTATAGATTTTCCTACTGATGGTCAAAGTTATATGTATTTCTAGTAATAGCGATTTACTTATTTATGCCAATAGGTAATTCACAGTAACTATTTCATGACTCTTGGAGAAGTTTCTGAATTTTCATTCCTTTAAGAACACACAGATGAGGACTGAGGATATAGCTCAGTGGTGGAATGCCTGCCTAGCATGTGTGAAATCCTGAGTTCAATCCCCAGTAACTCCACCTCACCCCACATTCACACATATACATACACACGCGCACATGTGAGCACACAAACACATAAAAAAAAAAAAAATCCCACATAAATGGACTTACCATCATCTAAAGTGATGTCTTGTAGACCAATGGTTGAAAAGTTAGGTTCCTGATCTTCAGGTTCATGCTTAATGCTCACAGTTGTCCCATCAGGTGGAAATGATGTTGGATCGCACAAACTGTGACATATTATAGACGAAGGTACAGAAAGACCTCCCTGACCTGTACTTTGTGCTTGAGTTGAGTGCTGTCCAGAATGTATTCTGGTGGCTGGAGATGGTGATGAGGCAGTTCCTGAGCTAGGAGATTGATAAGGCATAGACTGCAGCTGAGGGGACGGTGGCCCAGAAAGTGGTGAACTAGCCAAGGAACAAGAGGCTGCTGGGGAAGCTGTTGTAGCAGACCCTGAATGTGAAGGACCATATGTTATATGCTGCAACTGAGGGGAAGGCTGACTAATAACTTGGTCAGCCACCGGAGAAGAAACAGGTCTTTGTCCTATATTTGAACAATGGTATCCCATTGATTGCAGATGAGGCGAGGTTTGCACAGAATTAGGTGTATGTGCTAAGAGATGCCCTGTTGAGCCTGCATTTGAAGAATGAAATGGTATGGATGATAACGGTTGACAGCCAAGATTTACTAAATTAGGAAGAGCTGCATCCTGCTGATACAAAACTGGATCAAATTCTTGACTAGAGGCAGCATTAACAGGAAGACAAGTTGGTCCATTATACACAACATTAGTTTGCATAGACTGATAGGAAGACCCCACAGGAGATGTTGGTGTAACTTGAAAAGGCTGGTGCACAACTGAAGAAGGTAGCATATGCTGCTCTTTACCTGCTCCCTCCTCTCTACAATGCAACTGTGGTAGATGGGATGAGGTTACCATAGAGGCATATGCTTGCTGAATGGGACAAACCAAGCCTCTCGGTGCTGACAGTAAAAAGTCACGTGGGTTCCCTGGATCTGAGGAAGGCCTCTGGGTCTGGCCAGGATGAGGCACAGGCAAAGGTGGAACTGAAGACAAATCAATCTCTTCTCTGTGTTCTTGCTTCATCAAAACTGAAAAGAAAATGATCAGAACTATGTTATTATGCAATACATAAAATAATTATGGCAGACCTTCATTTTAAGTTATACAAATGTAATATGTATCCAAGCTGGGAATGGCAAACTCAAATACCTTCAGAGAAGGGCATTTTATGTAAAACACTGAGTGTATATATACATATACAAATGTTTGTATATGTATGGATATCTCTAAGAAGATGCACAAGAAACCACTAAGTGTTATATTCACTACTGGGAAAGGACAGAAAGGCAGAAGCAGGAAGGAGATTTACTTTTTACCATATACTTTTTATGCCTTTTAATGTTTTTCACTTTGTATATATTACCTATCCAAAAATAAATGAAGAAAAAATTAAACCCTATGGCTTAATAAAGCATTGAATTTGGAATCCTTGATCTGAAACCTATCACTATATATGAAAAGGGCTCAATATCCAGAATATATGCAGAATCCCCAAACTCAACAGAATTAGACTACAGATTTATTTTGTTCTTTTTTTCTCGGGGCGTGCGCGGGGGGGGGGGGGGGGGGGGGNTGAATTCAGTTTTAACCACTGAGCCACATCCCCAGCCCTACTCATACTTTATTTAGAGCTGTAGTGGAGGAAAAAAAAAAAAAAAAAAAAAAAAAAAACAGAACACTGAGTTGCTTATTGCCTAGCTTTTGCTGAGGCTGATTTTGAACTAGCGATCCTCCTGCCTCAGCCTCCCAAGCCACTGGGATTACAGGCGTGCACCACTGTACCTGGCTAGATCTGAATATGATCATCTAAATTGAGACATATAGGTATATGTGTTATGTGTATGTATGTGCATGCACACACTTGCACATGCCAGCTCTTTAATCTAGGATTGCTAATTAACAAGATCAAACCTAGAAATGCCATCTGGTGAGAGCTTTCCAGAGAATGAGCCAACAGGAGAGGAAAAAAAGCAGTGTTAAAACAAAGAGAAAGCCTGAGCCTGAGACAACACTGTTTCAGCTGAAACATGCTTAAAAAGCTAGTCTTCTGGTTAACCTAATTAAATGAGCCAGTAAGTTCTCTTTAAGAGAGTCTAAATTGGACTTCTATCCCGTGCAACTGAAAGATGCTAACTTACTTCAAGACAACCTTTATGAGATTATTTCCTTACCTTATAGGATGAGTATAATGAAAAGGAGATTAAAGATACCAAGGTCTTACAGCAGTTAAGCGGCATTAAAAATATCTGAACCAGGTTTTTCTGCCTCTAAAGTCCATACCTTTTATGTAGTACACTGTATTATAAAGATTTCAATTTGCCATTCCATCAAGCAAGCAGAGGCTATGAATACCAACCATTATTATTTATCACATCAAGCAGTATATTCATGATTTAGGATGAATCTTCCTGATGAAAAGATCTCTCATAGTAGGAATTAATGAATTTATTTTGTTTAATGAGCATATAAAATCAGCTTCCAAATTAACTACCAGTAAACTGATTTTAATATTTCCCTTAACAAGTACTGTTTATCTAGTTTTCTAAAAATTACCCGCTTCAAGTCTCCTATTGAAGARACATGAAAAGGACAAAGCCAGTCACAGCTACTTAGTGACACTCTGTTTTAAATAATAAAAAGGGCTGAGGGTGTAGCTCAATGATACTAAACCCCTGGATATGATCAACAGTACCACCAAAATAATAATGATATTTTTAAAAAATAAAAATAATTATTAGGGGCTGGGGATGTGGCTCAAGCGGTAGCGCACTCGCCTGGCATGCGTGCGGCCCGAGTTCGAACCTCAGCACCACATACCAACAAAGATGTTGTCTGCCGAGAACTAAAAAATAAATATTAAAAATTCTCTCTCTCTCTCTCTCTCCTCTCTCATTCTCTCTTTAAAAACAATCTTTAAAAATAAAAAAAATAAAAATAAAAAAAATTATTATTATTTTCATTGCTCTTTTCGGGTTATAATTCCAGCTAACATAATTAAAATTTTCACAATCATCACAAAATAAAAGAACTTCATTTAATGTCAGAAGAGGACAAGAGACCTAAATCAAGATCAAACCTCATGTGACTATCTATAAAACTCCTGCCCAATACAAGTCTCTTCACACAATCATGGTCTCAATCTGAGAACTGAAAAGTTTGTTTCTATTCAAAGTCATTTAGTTAGTTCAGGAATTTGACATTCAATTTAGAGTCTTTTGTTTAGGCTAAAAATTGGTTACCTGATAGTACATTCTCACAGAAAAAGAGAGAAATGAATGCTTGTTTAGAGGAGTATTTGAATTCTGCATTTTATGCTGACATCCTAACAAGAACATAATGGGCTCATGATTGACCTGCAGTAAGCTCTAAATCTGGCAAAGCTAACCCCATCACTAACAATGAGACAAGAACACCAAGGACAGAGAGAAATGTTATGAGCAATCTTGTTGCTTCTGAGCACCACTGTTCAGGCCTCTATCCTGTTTCTGATTCTTGCTCAGGAGTTTCAAGTTCACCATATCTACTGGTTCCTGACTTTTCTTAAGTTCTCACCTATTGACTTTTATTCTGACCTTGGCAGAATTAGAACTGTGTCCCTAAACCAGTAGAACTTTTTGTTGTTGTTGTTTTTTCCCCCACTACAGCTCCTACTGTGGTCTCAGAAAAGTTACAATGAATCCTATAACCAGAATTATATTTCTACAGGAGAGAGACTATTAAGAAAGCCTACTCTTATCCCTTAATTCTGAGGGCAGAAGTACATCCCTTGGTTACATGAATGGTTGCTTACTGTGACTACAAAGCAGACAAAGCAGGGTGCAGTGGCGCACACCTGTAATCCCAGAGGCTCAGGAGGCTGAGGCAGGAAGATCACTAATTTACAATCAATCTCAGCAACAGTGATGCACTAATCAACTTAGTAAGACCCTATCTCTAATAAATAAAATACAAAATAGAGCTGGGGATATGGCTCAGTGGTCGAGTGCCCCTGAGTTCAATCCCCAGGACGGGGTGGCAGCGGGGCCAGACAAAGGGACTGAAAACTACAGTGTAACATCTACTTTTTTTTTCCCTACATGATTCAAACCTTATTCTTATGCTTTTAACCAACATCTGCATACTTAAATTGAGAGATTTGCTCTGCTAAATTGAATGTTAGTTCTGCTCTGTCAAATCAATTATTATTCTTTTTGTCTATAAGGGGCTGACACTCCAACCTGACCAAACCATGGAAGTCCTCACCACTGGCCCATCCATGGTCATTTATTCTTGTTTGGATAAAAGATAGTTAAAGGTAATGCTGTTTTGGATTTGGAATATCTCCCAAAAGCTCAAATGTTGAAGGCCTGGTCTCCCCAATACAGCACTGTTCAGAGTGGGGGCTTTTGGGAAGTGACTGGATTATGGGGGATCTCACAATGATCTTGAAGGCATTATTAGAGTCTATAATCGAAAGAATGGGTYCCCAGAGGTGTGCCCTTGAGGATTATATCTTGTCCTAACCCCCTCCCCCCAATACCTTGAGCTTTTCTTTACCACACACATACACCATGATGTTATTTTACCTTGCTTCAAGGCCAAAGCAATGGAGCCAAACATAGTGGGAAGCATGTGAAACCATGAGTCAAAATACAGTTTTCTTCCTTTAAGTTGTTTATGCAGGTATTTTGGTCACAGCAATAAAAAACTAACACAGGAAGCTTAACAATATTTAGAATTGAATTGAATTTTGGAAACAAATTATCTCTATCTTTTGTGTTATATATATACTCTCAAATTTAGAGTATCAATGCATGCAGGCATTCAAGAAAAACATTAACTGGTCTAGTGGTTTTCAAACCACTGGCAGCCTAACACTTCCCTTCAAGTAGTGGATATGGCAGTGAATGCAACATTCAGATACCAGAAGCTTTACATTTTGTTTTTCATTGCAAAGAGTGCAGTTTAGTAAGCTTTTACTCTTTTTAATAATATTGGGTTTTACACAAAGCTTTATATGAGAAATGGAGCAACTTAAACAATTAAAAACCATTTGAAATTAATTTACTTACATTCAGTGAGTACTATCTGGGGTAGAGCTAATACCTGATCTCCTCACTCTACAGCATGCTTTCTCTTGCAATCAGAACCACCACAATCCAAAAGACAGGCTATCCAATCAACTGCTTAGAATACAGAATATACTTTCCCAGAGACAACGTTACACATGAGAGTTGGACTCCAATGCTACCCTGCAAGGCCCCATTATTCCAAAACTAGAGCTCAGATCATACCTCTAGTGCAAGTAACTTCTATTGGGCTCAGGGGAAGTATGTTGCTTCAATAGCTTCCTGGAAATCAAAGTGGAATGGGGACTCCCACATAGGAAGCTTCAAAGTTAGAGGCTGAGCAGAATTCAAATTAGCTAGTATTTATTTATCTACCTACCTACCAAGTCCTATTTGTCCCTCTAGACATAAGACCTATGCAAAAAAGGACTGACAGGTTTTTGCCACCTAGCAGGTTTTACCACCCAAATACTTACTCAATTAGTGAATGAACAAAATTGCTAACCAAAATCTTTAGCTTTCAAAGATTTGTATTCTATCTTTCAATTATCTGAAATATTATTATTATTTTTTAATAATATTTATTTTTTAGTTTTCGGCRGACACAACATCTTTGTTTGTATGTGGTGCTGAGGATCGAACCCAGCGCCGTGCGCATGCCAGGCAAGCGCGCTACCACTTGAGCCACATCCCCAGCCCTATCTGAAATATTATATTCAAGTAATATATTAACATTATCAAATAATAATGATTTTGGATTTGGGAATATAAGTAGCCCTTATAGACAATAAATGAAATATAACCAGGCCATTAAAAACATGCATGATAAATGAATAACCATTAATAACTAGCACCTTCTCAAATATAACTGTTTTTCTCACTTACTATAAACTAAAAGTTTCTCCAAGAATAAGTTATGGATAATTTACCATGATTTCTTTGTTTGTTTTCTGTTGTTACTGTTCACTTTTTGAAACAGTCTACTATCCATTTTATCACCACAATTTTTTAAATTATCATATGCCCTGGTGACTAGCACAGTTCCTAGTATAGAAAAGACCAATAAATATTTATTCTCCAAGAATGCAACCATCAGCATGTATTACTGCATATATTTTTGTGTCATAATAAAAAAATGGAAAGTTACAACACTTGAACTGCTACAAAAAGAGGTATCAACATCTCTTTGTTAGTGTGTGAAATCAAAAAACCTTGTATCAACATTACAGCCCCCAAAGCCCATAGTATGACACAGCTGATGTTTGTCAAATGAAAATCTAAGAGATTTTTCTTTTTCTTTTTCTGTGCATGGCAGACAAGTACTTTACCTCTGATCAACATCCCCAGCCCTGAAATTTTTCATTATGATTAAAATAAAATCATCATCTGATATGCATATTCTAACACACAATAAGGGGGGGAAGAATGGAAGTACTTTGGATTAGACAAAGGAGAATGAAGAAAGATAGGGGAATAGGAATAGGAAAAACAGTAGAATGAATTGGACATTACTTTCCTATGTTCATATATGAATACATGACCAGTGTAACTCCACATCATTTATAACCATAAGAACGGGAAGTTACACTCCATTTATGTATAATGTCAAAATACATTCTACTCTTAATATATAACTAAAAAGAACAAATAAAACCATTTAAAAAAATAAAAAGATGAAGGCATTATGAAATGGGCACACTGTCTTTCTGTGTGCTATGGCTACAAAGGGAATTCATGACCCAACAGCATACACATACTCACAAACACTTGCCCCTCCTTCTCCAGCCTTTTTATTTTGAGACAAAGTTCCACTAAGTTATCTAGGCTGGCCTCAAGTTTGTGATTGCCCTGCCTCAGTCTCCCAAGTCAAAGGTATTTAGGGTTGGTGACTTTTTTTGGGGGGTGAGGTGTGTGGGGTAACCAGGGACTGAATCCAGGGGCGCTTAACCACTAAGCCACATCATCAGTCTTTTTTATTTTTAAATTTTGAGACAGAACCTCACTAAGTTGCTGAGACTGGCTTTGAGCTTGTGATCCTCCTGCCTCAGGCTCTAAAGCTGCCACACCCAGCTAGGGTTGATGATTTTTGACAACTTCTAAAAAAACTTGCTAGGATTGTGGCTCAGTGGTAGAGCGCTCAAGCACTCCCCTAGCATGGGTGAGACCAGGTTCGACCCTCAGCATCACATAAAAATAAAGGCATTGTGTTGTGTCTATCTACACTAAATAAATAAACTTCAAACTTACATTTCATCTTCTGATTTTTTTTTAATAATAAATCACTACAAGTTAACTATCAGCACATCTCATATTTAAAGTCAAAGAAGAGCTGGGGTTGTGGCTCAGGGATAGAGTGCTTGCCTAGCACATGTGAGGCACTGGGTTTAATCCTTAGCATGACATAAAAATAATAAATGAGTAAAATAAAGGTATTGTGTCCATCTACAACTAAAAAAAAAACATTTAAAGTCAATATAAACTTTAGGTATAYGTTGATATTTTTATTGATTATAATCAGAGTACTTTGAATATCCATTGAGCAAATTTTTATTCAATATGAAAGAAAGCTTATAATAAACCATCACAAAAACTCCTCATACCTGGTGTATAAGTGAAACGTTGAGACTGGCTTTTTTTCCTCTTGCCATTGCAAAGATAAAAGTGCACCTGCACTGCAGCTGTAACTGCTGGGTTATGATACGGAGGAACTTCAAGGACAATGTGAGCCTAAGGAGCATGAAAAGCAAGATTGTGTTACACTCAGAACTAAAAATGTAATGCACCTGCTAAACTCAGAGTAAGTTATGAGTCTTAAATGCAAGGTTCTACCATCATACAAAATTATACACATCAATCAGTCATATAAGTAATCTGGAGATTTACTACATGGATACTTCAGTTTTGACAAAGACAAACCCTTTAATCATTAAAGGAGAAACTCCTACCCCGCCATTTTTAAAAAATTCTTTTACTTTATTTTTTTAACATTTTGTTATTTTGGTTGTAGTTGGACACAATACCTTTATTTTATTTTTTTGTGGTGCTGAGGATCGAACCCAGCGCCCTGCAGGTGCCAGGCAAGTGCTCTACCACTGAGCCACAACCCCAGGTCGCTATTTATTTATTTGAGATGAGGACTTGTCATGCTGCCCAGGCTATCTCAAATTCGTGAGCTCAGGTGATTCTCCTGCCTCTGCCTCCCACATAGGTGGAACCACAAACATTTACCACCATAACAGACTGAGAAACTGCTTTTTAATCATCCAACAACTTTTTAATCACCCACCATAACAGGCTGAGAAACTGCTTTTTAATCATCCAAATTCTAGTAGAACAATGCATCACATACTATGCAGAGACATACCTTATTCTATCAAATATTAAAGGTTATTTTATATACACAAAGATTGAATTTATATACACAAAGACTGAATTTCTTACCCCTTGACATTTTTCCCTTATTATTTTCCCTTCTACCTCCCACTGAGGTCGTCCATCTGTTGAAAGAAACAATTTCAGTTAAAAGCAATTTAAGTCAGAAAGTATACTAACAAAATTTTATGTATGTAGTATCACAAATTTATGGCAAAAGGAATCTTTTCCTTACTGACTTCCAATGTGAAAAGAAAGCATAATTGTGGGAAAAAATGGGGAGAAAGAATTCATTCTCTCCATCAAGTGAATGAAAATCCTCAGAGTGAACTCACAAAGCAGGGGCAAACTTTCGCTCATATACCTCAAATGATGGAAAGGAAATTCATTCCCTCACCAGATAACCCACTCCATCTTTGGAAAATAATGGCTGTTCTGTCACAGATAGTGGGAAAAGATGTGGTACACTTCCCTAACTCAYTTCAATATTTAGAATATATAAATGAAAAACTAACCCAGCAGAAAAAAATGGGCAATGACAAGAACAGGTATTGCACAAAAAGTCAACATGAATTGTCAATAAAACTCTTAATAGACATCAGGAAATTTCATACCAAAGTTCAGAATACCATTTTACTACATTAAAAAAAATTTAATTCACCAGGTGATAAGGACCAGAACATTCATAACAACACTGAAAGCTACTGTTGGCAGTGCTAAAACATGAACACAGTTCAAATACCCACTAAGAAAAGGGATAATAAACTTTAATATACTCAACAGTAAAAACTATATATTAGTGAATGTGAAAAAATTCTAGTTACATGGATGGATGTAGATCAATCTTATTGTTGACCTCTGAAATAACCAATTCCCAGAAAAATATATGTACTATTATAGAATCCCAAAATAGGGAAATAAAATAAAACTGTAGAGAAAAAAGCAAGCATCAATTCAGGCAAAGAATCCACTTCAGACAGCCTGGCAAGAACCCTCCTATAGCAATTTATATATTATGTATAAATATATATTTGGTACCAGGGATTGAACACAGGGGTGCTTAACTACTGAGCCACATCCCCAGCCCTTCTTTATATTTTATTAGAGACAGGGTCTTCCTGAGTTGCTTAGGGCCTCACTAAGTTGCTGCGTCTGGCTTCGAATTCATGATCCTCCTGCCTCAGCCTCCCAAGTCACTAGAATTACAGGCATTCACCATTGAGCCCAGCTGCAAGTTGTATGTCTTAAATGGGGTGATAGGTATAAACTATTTGTTTATATTATTTTTTTTTATTTTTTTTTTCAAAGAGAGAGGAGAGACAGAGAGAGAGAAATTTTAATATTTATTTTTTAGTTCTCGGCGGACACAACATCTTTGTTGGTATGTGGTGCTGAGGATCGAACCCGGGCCGCACGCATGCCAGGCAAGCGCGCTACCGCTGAGCCACATATCCAGCCCTGTTTATATTATTTTTAAGAGTGGCAATTTGTAATTATTGTTAAAGATGAGGGGAGACCAAATGATGGAAAAGTGTTTTAAATATTCTTAAGGGATAAAAATAAACTCCCCAATAAACATAGGGTTCTTCTACTTTTTCAAAAGTTGATATAATCCATAATCTATAAATATAATTCACATCTTATAAATTTCTTTTTTCTCTTTCTTTCTGTGTGCATATGCGTGCATGAGTGCTTGTGTGTGTGTGTAAGAGAGGGAGGGGGGGAGAGAGAGAAACTGGGGAGGGAGGGAGGGAGAGAAAAAGAGAGAGAGATAATGGGGATGGAACCCAGAGGTGCACCACTGAATTAAATTCTCAGCCCCTTTTATTCTTTGAGACTGGATTTTGATAAATTGCACAAGCTGACCTTGAACTTGGCAAGGCTGGTCATGAAATGGCATTCCTCCTGCCTCAGTCTCCCAAGTCACTGAGATTACAGGTGTGTGCCAGCCCTCCAGGCTAATTTCATCCTTTCAAAGTATACAAGTCAGCCAGGTGCAGTGGGGCTGGCCTGTAATCCCAGTGGCTCAGGAGGATGGTGAGTTTAAAGCCAGCCTCAGCAAAATCGAGGTAATAAGCAACTCAGTGAGACCCTGTCTCTAATTTCAGATTTTTTTTTTTTTTTACCCCCCAAAGAAACCCTGCAGATATCAGTCGTCATTCAAATTGACAACCCTCTCCAACTATGAGCAACCATTAACTTAGTTTTGGTGTCCATAGATTATTTATTGTGGAAATTTTGTATAAATGAAACTATACAGTATATGGTCTTTTGTGTGAGCTTCTTTCAAGTACCATATCACGACTTCAAGGTTCATCCATTCTGAATCACATGTTAATTTTTATTAATTCATTAATTTTTATCATTGAATGGATATGCCACATTCTGATTATGCATTTGCCAACTGTTGAGTATTTGAGGTGTTGTCTGGGTTGTTTCTAATTTTGGGTTATTATGAATAATGTTGCTAAAAACATCTGTAACTTAATTTTTGCTTTGTTTTCAATTCTTTGAATGAGTACCTAAGAGCAGAAATGTCAAGGAAAAGACATGCTTAAAGAGAATTCCACATTTATATGGAAATTGAATAAATGTTTGGTTTATAATAAAATCTAGTATATAAATGATGCCTGTAGAGTCAGAGAAATTATTTTGTGATTAATGTTAATTAAATATCTAAATTTATTTCATCCTTTTGCCCCTTACAGTCAATCAATTTATATTATTTACCTTGTCCTTTTTCAAGAAAAATTATTTTAGATTCTGGAAGAAAATTAGATCCAGTCACAATCATTTCATGGCCTCCATTTACAGAACAACTGTTGATACTGTATTTCTCAATATGAGGAAGTTCTTGAGCAGACCGCTGGGCTGTTTTTTTTTTTTTTTTTAAACAGTTGAGGAAAAAAACCAAAATATTAGTCTAAAGATTTCACATAAATGAGACAAGCTCAAGCTACAAAATAAAATTAAAAGTAAATTTAGGGATTAATTCATTAGGCTTTCACAGTGAAAGAACATGGCTGGTTTAAAAAACAAGAAAGGATATATTAAAATGTTATATCTTTAAATTATTTTCTTAGACTACTTAATATCTTCAACTTCACCTTTATTCCCATTCATCTCATCTTTTCTTTTCCAATTAAATTTTTAATATATTTCTTCCATACAATCATGTGTTAAAATTTACAAATCTAATTATCCCAAAAGCATATTAGTACAAAAATGTATAACTGTATTACATACAACTAACAGAAGACAAATCTAAAAAACCTACTAGAGGACAACACCAAATAATTCTTTTATCAAGAGAATACTTAGGTGTACATGTATTTTGTATAGTTTTCTAAATAACCAATTAATTGAAACACATGAAATACACATTTAAATAATGAATTTTTAGAAGTGTATACATGTTACTTTAGTGACAGTACTTTTTTTTTTTTTTTACCTTTACAGGTACATGAAACATAATCTAATTTTTCTCAGTCATTATTTAAACATACTTTTTTTTCCTTACCGTGGATTCAACTAATGGGTGCTTAACCACTGAGCCACACCCCCAGCCCTTTTTATTTTTTGAGACAAAGTTCATTAAGTTGCTTAGGAACTCACTAAGTTGCTGAGGTTGGCTTTAAACTTGCAATCCTCCTGCTTCAGCCTCCCAAATCACTGGGATTACAGGCATGTGCCACCACACACACTTTCAGTTTACACTTTTAATGTACACATTACATTAAAAGCAAAATAGAAAATAAACTATTTTCAATAACATCTTAAAACATATCACAATCTCACTTACAGCATTCAACAGGTATAGAAGCTATCTGCAGAGAAAGGACTTTTCCATTGGGCTGTGGGATGTGTACACGAAACACAAGTCGTACTCTAGTATTCTTTCTGCCAATATCAGTTTCTCCTTTTCGAAGCTCTATATCTGAATTTCGAAGTTTCAAAATACCTGCACAGTCAATACTAGGGAGAAAAATACAAAAATGTTATTTGCTTACTGATAACGAGTGTTTCTAAACAACTAAATTACACAGATGTGTATTGTCAATTTGTCAGGGCAGAAATATCTATGCAGAATCACGTCAAAAAACAAAGATATGTATGACTATCTTAAAATTCTAACAAATCATAAAAAAACCCACAAACCCATAGAAATATTCATTTACAACAATGAAAATAAGTATTAAATTCTGTTTAAAATTATAACTGTCTTTATTTTTATACCACAGTATAATTTTGCCACATCTGTACTTATCCAATTTTAAAAACAGAAAGGAGTTATGAGAAGGTAAGGCAATGAACACTGGCATGCTATGTTGAAGTACCTTGTAGGATGGCTCTGTGATTTACAGTTTAGTCTTATATGTACAAGAGATTTAATCATGAAATAACCAAGTTTGTGGATAACTAGGTAAAACTGGGGGAGTATTTACTAATCTTCCTACCTTTATTGCCTTTAGAGAACAGTAAATCCATTTAATACATACCTAAGACTCACTTATACATAAATTATTTTGAACAATGGTCTTATCTATCACTTAGAATTTTATATTTCCCACTGTCTAAAACTACAATGATTGAATATAATATAGTTACATTCAATAAGTTGCTTGGATACTAGCTTATCCCAGTTAGTAGCTTACCTAGTATTAAGTTACTAGGCAAAACAGGATCATCTGGCATTAGCTTCTTTGTTATCTATTCCCCATGGAAAAAGCTTCTTAGGTTTGGGTAACTTCCTAGTTGCCCCTCAATCCTTTTTCTTAATACTGGCAAATGAACCCACTACCACTGGCAACATCCTCAGTACTTTTTATTTTTTATTTTGAGACAGGGTCTAATTACATTGCCCAGGCTAGCCTCCAACTTGCCCTAGCTTCCTGCCTCAGCCTCCTAAGTAGCTGGGATTACAGATGTGTATCATCACATCTGGCTTTACTCAATGCTTTCTATAATTTGCACAATATTATCATAAGCCTCTGATCCTATATAATTCCTGCTCCCTGATCTATCAGTGGAGAATAGACAGAATAGCCAGAGATGCTTCAGGTGTGCATGTGCAGGATGGGGCGAGAGAGCTATTTGCTTGTTATTAGTCAAAGTGATGTTCCTGCAGCTTTGTCTCTACTCTGATTTTTTCACACTATTTGGGATTTGAACCTTTCCCAATTTCCTAAGACTATTTCACAGAAACTCATGTACTTTTTTTTTCCCCTTTAACTGATTGGTTTGTATGTTATTTATAGAAAGGATACAAGGCATTTTATAATATAAATAAGGCCAAGAAAAGAAAAACAAAAATTTTTGAAGTATAAGGAACAGGAAATAAATACACCCCAAACTGTAATAAATTACTACAATTATGATAACTGAGCTTAACCATGAACTCTCTGGAAAGCAAAGCAAAAATTAAGACGATAAAGTTTTATAGGTTTTCTGTTGCCTGTAAAGCAAAACCTACCATGCCATCAAGAAACATCAACTTTTTTAAGTTGAAAGAAGTTTGTGTGTGTATATAACAGTGACCAACCTAAGAAAATGTTTAACAGTAATTCTTCAGATTAGAAAGAAGTATTCAAATTGGGCATGGTGATGCACACAGGTAGTATCAGCACTGTAGGCTGAGGCAGAGGGATCATCTGAGACCATAAGTTCAAGACTAGCCTGGGCAATACAATAAGACCCTATCTCAAAAAAATTTAAATGAGTATTCATATGACTCTTTTTTATACTGTCCCTCAAGTAAAATGAGCAAGCCTAATAAGCTTCTAGTGATTTTCACTTAAACTTGATTCAAATATAGTACTTTGACAATCCACTGAAATGAATGAAAACAATGCCTGCACACTGACCCCTACCAGAGCAATTTTTTGAGCTCTTAAGAAAAAGACAGTTCAAAGCTAAGTTTTAAATTTCCCTCAGCAGACAGCAAACTGTATACTAATGTGTTTCTGATGCTATATGGAAAAGTAAGATCCTGGAGCAAAAAGATGCTTACTTGAATTCTCATTCAAAGGTTAGCCACATCATTTGGAGAGGGGGAGGTATGTAATGAGTCAAATGGGATACCTGGGGTAAAGTCGAATGTTTTTCTTACAGACACTTAACAATTACAATTATATTGCAATTATTTATTTATTGTTCATTCTGTTACACTGAGTAATTGATGAAAGTCAATATATTTTTATTTTTATTACCTAAGATGATGCCTGGCTAGTGGCTCATGATCCACTAACATATGCTAAATTGAATTTTCTTTTTGGAAATATGCCACCACTAGTAGCAAATGTGCTAACAATTATTTATATAATATTATTCAGTTAATTTGGAACAATGACTATATTTTTACATAAGTAATATATAGACATATTATAACCTGTGTATAATTATGTTGTATATACATGTGTGCATATATATGAAAGGTAGTAGGGACTGATCCAAGGGGTACTTTACCACTGAGCTACATCCCTACTTCTTTTCAGTTTTTTAATTTGAAACAGGGTTTTGCTAAATTACTGAGGCTGGCTTCAAACTTGCCCTGTTGTCCTCCTACCACAGGCTCCCACTAGGATTATTGGTGTGCACCACCATATCCAGCTATATATATATATGTCCTTTTGAAAGCTGTTTCAGGAAAAGAAAGAAATGCCCATTTGGGAGTATGTTTCAAGATACCTGGCTGACATATTATTTTCAGGAAGAAGTGGAATTTCTAGAACTTTTGTACTGGCAATTATTATCTCTTGGCTTGCAGTAGCAACTGTCTTTCCAGTGATTCGATGCACCTGGTAAAATGCATGAGGTCGTAAGTATCGATCATCTGCTGTTCCAATAAACATCTGTAGATTTATCGGCTTTTCACTATAGCCCAGGAGCTAATTAGGAAGAACAAACAGAGAAAAAAGCACAATTCATTATACAAACCATTTTACAACAAGCTCACAAAAGTAAGTCTAAACTCAGGTCTGCATGCTCTATAATGCTATAAATCTATAAATCCTTTTATTTGTATCATATACTATTGATACACAAAATGTCATTTCAAAAAAGACAATAATAAAAGAGTATTAATCACAAAATAATTTCTCTGACTCTACAGGCATCATTTATATACTAGATTTTATTATAAACAGTCCTCCAAAGACATGTGGGTTTTTTTTTCCTGATAAACATCTGAATCATCAAAAATTTTTAAAATCCTTCTGATTCCACTATGAACAACACAAACAAAAGCTGATTCTTGGGGCTGGGATTATGGCTCCGGGGCAGTGCACTTGCCTGGCAAGTGTGAGGCACTGGATTCGATTCTCAGCTCCACATATAAACAAACAAACAAATAAATAAGTAAATGTCTATCAACAATAAAAAAAAATAAAGGTTAAAAAAAAAACTGATTCTTTATTTTTGACAACATTAACCATTTAGACTAGACCTAATGATTTGGGTGTGTGGGAAGGTCCTCTGACAGACTATTAAAATCAGAGGCACTTTGCTTTAGTTAAGATTCTGAAAAACTGTTACCAACTTAGAAATTCAACTGACTTAACAAGATGCGCTATTTGACTTTCTTTTTTTTTAAAGATTAATTAATTAATTTTTTAATTAGATATATATGACAGCTAACCTAATTCTCTATCTCTTTGCTCCAATTTCTTCTGGCTGTAGACCATGGCTCTCAAATAAAATAAGGACAAAAAGCATAAGTACTAGGCTATCATAATTAAGTTTTYATTTTCACTTAGTAAAGAGTAACAAAACATATTTCAAGAACAAATGTGTTTGCTTTTAATAAAGAAAATAAAAACCTTTCCCTCAAACACACACAACCCAGAAATGGATTGCTTGTGACATTTCAAGAAGTGAGTACAAATTCAAGGAAGCAATAGGCCAATTATAATGGTAAAATACCAAATGAGTAAAAAAGGAGTCAAGAAATCAAACTAAAATTTAAAACACAAATGCAGATCTAATAAGTAAATTAGAAATGTCGAGCAACTATCAGGTCACTAACGTGGAGGGAAGTTTAAAAAATAAATCTCAATAAATTAGAAATGACATTGAAGCACCCAGAGAACAGACACAGATATTAAGGGTAAACAGACAAGTCAATGTCTGAATAACAATTGTAGTCATTGAAGAAAATGATGAAATAGGAAATATATAAGCATATGTTATACAGAAAAAAATTTTTGAATGAAGGAAGAAGGAATCTCAAATAGAAAGAGAGCATCATAGGCAAAGCGTTTGCCTTACATTTGCAAAGCCCTGGGTTCAACCCACAATTAAAAAAAAAAAAGACAAAAATATCATCAATATCTGGAATACTCTTGATTAAGTCCATTATTTTAAGTATCATGAAATAATTCTTTAAGCAACAAGTTAGAAAAAATCAGTTATTCACAAGAAGGATGAATATGAAAAACTATGAAACCAGAGTGTTAATCTTCCCTTGAGTAGGAAAACCATTTTTAATCAAAGGATTACTGTAAAAATAAATTGCAAGGACATCCAAAAGACTTCTGTCCATTTATGCATTTGTAAAAAATTACTTCCTAACAAGAAATGCTTGGCACAGTGGTGTACACTTGTTATCCCAGTGACTAGTAACTTGGGAGGCTGAGACAGGAGAATCCCAAGTTTGAGGACAAATTCAGCAACTTAGCAAGATCCTCAGCAACTCTGTGAGACCCTGTTTCAAAAAATAAAAAGGGCTGGGGATGTAGCTCAGTGGTACAGTGTCCCTGGATTCCAATCTCAGTACTGAAAAAAAAAAAAAAGATGCAGGATCTACATCCTTAATCAAATTTAACTGACTTGAAATAAACTCTGATTTAACACCAAAATATGATTCTAAAAGCAAATGACAGAATTTCATTTTTTCTTTCTTCTGTCCCCTCCCTCCCTCCTTCCTTCCTTTTCTTTTTGTTTTTCAAGATAGGGTCTTGCCGATGTTGCTTAGACTAACCCGAAACTTCTGGGCTCAAGAGATTCTACTTGATCCTCATTTCCAAAGTAGCTAAGAGTATAGACAGGCACCACTGCATCCAGCCCAAATGACAAAGTCTCATGTTCTATTTTCCTGATAGTTTTTGCTACAAATCATTTAAAACCTGCCTAAAATGCAAATCTCTTTTTGCATTTTAAAACATCCTTAAATAACAATGATGATAAATCATAAAGTAAAGCTGCTATAATACATGATAGTTCATAAACTGTAATGGCTGAAAATTGCTCCAGTATAATTAGTTTCTCCACTAAATACTTWCTGTCTACATAATTCTAAGAGTAAAATGGATGACATAATATTATTATATACAGCCATTCTGATGTTTGAGTGTATAGACTACATACACACATTCTCAATCATGAAAGAAACCAAGGAATGCAGAATCCAAAGCCCTTCTTAAACAACTAAACTTAACAATGAAGAACTGGTAATAGGCATCAAATTCAAGCAGATACAGGGCTAAGGCTAAAAAAAAATGGGTGGGAAGGTAGACACCCTTTTCCCTTCATTCCTCCCTCCCATGGTCACTTTCCTTTACTGTGATCTCCCTTGATTTTCCCCCACCCCAATTTTCTTTTCCTTTTTCCTCCCTAAATTTCACATGTGAGAGAAAACATATGATCTTTGACCTTCTGAGTTTGGCTTTCAATATCTTGATAATTATAATTAATTTTTCTTTTTTTCCCTTGCAATACTGCAGAGTGAAACCCAGGTATACTCAACCACTGAGCTATATTCCTTGGCCCTTTTTATTTTTTATTTTGAGACAGTCTTGCTAAGTTGCCAAGGTTGATCTCAAACTTGCAGTCCTCCAGCCACAGCCTCATGAGTCACTGGAGTTATAAACATGCACTACTATGCCTGGTTAAATTTGTTTTTTGACCTTAGATCTTTGAAGAACTTTTAAATAGAAGAGTTAAAAGAGTTAATAAACTCTTAATAAAAGAACAGCATATAAGAATCCACAGTTCTGCCCATGTGTTAAAGGCTTGATTGTCAGTCTGTGGCACTATTAGGACTGACCTGATTATCAGTCTGTGGAACCTTTAACAGGTAGGGCCTAGTGGGAAGAAGTTAGGTCACTGGGGATGTGACCCCAGTGAAGGGGACGTTAGGAACCGACCCTTTCTCTCTTTTTACTTCCCAATCTCCAGGTGGTTRCGGGCTTCCTTACTACACACACTTGCCACAGGCCTAGCAGCAACAGTACCAATCAACCATAGCCTGAAACCTAAAACTATGAGCCAAAGTAAAACTTTCCTCTTCATAAGTTGATTATCTYATAAATTTTACACAGTTGATCATCTTATGTATTTTGTTTCAGTGATAAAAAGTTGACTAATGCACTATCTTTAATGCACTGCAATCTTTTCCCCAGAGTGTCTCCAGCTGGAAAAGTCAGTCAAGAAGAATATCTTTTAGACTATTCAGAGAAAACTCAATACAGAAATGTAGCCAGAGCTACAAGTACAGAAAACAGAGGTTTTCCAGATTTGAGTTTTCTCCCTATTAGCTCTGTAACACCTAAATGAATAGCTCATCTAACCATTAATAGGTATGTGGTATGTGCAACAGAAGCCCCAAAACTCTCATACCTTCACAACAGGATGTCCCCCAGTAGATGCTTTTACTGCCCCTCGGCTACCTTCTGTTTCATAATGGGCTCGATGATGAGTTTTAGGTTGCACTTCTATTTTCAGTTCACACTGTCCAAAGTGGGATGGTAAAGGCCAGTCTAGTGGAGGTAATGAAGATGTGCTATAAACAAAACACACAAAGATGCATTTCAGCTTGCTTACTGCCAAGCAGTAATTCAAATCACTTCTTTGCCAGCACTAACATGTCCTCCTATGATCTTTGAAACAAAGGACTCCAAAATAAACTTTACATAGTTAAGTTATAACACTGGTTATGGTAGGTACTTATTAAATAATTCTTTAATTTTTTAATTCTACAGGCTAAAATCTATTTAACTTTTTGTTTTGCTGGATTTTTAAAAATTTGTAGTTGTGGACACAATATCTTTATTTTATTTATTTATTTTTTATGCGGTGCTGAGGATTGAACCCAGGGCCCCATATGTGCTAGGCAAGTTATCCAATTATCCACAACCCCAGCTCCCTGGACTTTTTTTTTTGAAAAGGACGAACTCTAAACCTACAACTGTTTCTCAACCATGTATACAATCAAAAAAACCAATAATTTGATTTCTTAAAACAAAGATGTGCATCTTTGTATGTTTACCAGTATCTCTTTAAGAACAGAAATCTCTATTTTGTCTCAGAATACATACGTTTTCCCCTCTTAGGTATAAATCAGTGGAAGTCCATCTATTACGTATGTTGATTACCCCACTTCCTATTACTCTTTTGCTGATCTCTTTGAAAAATTGCTTATATTCAGCAACAGATTGCAATTTAAGGTATAATTTTAATTTTGGTATATAAGTAGCTAAAAAAAATGAGGCATCAGTAACATCTTAAAAGGTCAATTTTTTTTACTTGATCAATAAGATAATTAAAACAACTTAGATGCTTTAAGTTTCATTTAGATATATTAACATTGAAAATATAGAATTAGAAAATAACATATGTCTTCAAGTCAAATGTTAATGGATCCAAAGCTACAATACTATGTATTAAAAAGTAATATTGGGGGGCTGGGGTTGTGGCTCAGAGGTAGAGTACTCAGGGGTAGAGTGCTCGCCTAGCACGTGCAAAGCCCTGGGTTCAATTCTCAGCACCACATAAAAATATAAAAAATAATAAAATAAAATAAAAAATAAAAATAATAAAAAATAGTAATTAAAGATATTGTGTCCATCTTTTTTTTTAAAATGCATCTCCACTAATGTGGATTACTAGGTGTTGAAATATACTTTATAGTATACTTATTTTTTTAAAGAGAGAGACAGAGAGAGAGAATTTTAATATTTATTTATTTTTTTTAGTTATCGGCGGACACAACATCTTTGTTTGTATGTGGTGCTGAGGATCCAACCCCAGGCCGCACGCAAGCCAAGCAAGCGTGTTACCGCTTGAGCCACATCCCCAGCCCCTTGTGTCCATCTTAAAAAAAACTTTTTAAAAAAAGTAACATCATCTTAACGGTTGATGAAATGGGACTTTTTAAAAAAAAAAAATTTATTTTTGTTGTTGTAGTTGGACACAATACCTATTTTTTTATCGATTTATTTTTATGTGGTGCAGAGGATCAAACCCAGGGGTTCACATATATGCTAGGTGAGCACTCTACCACTGAGCCACACCCCAGCCCCTGAAATGGAACTTTTAAGGTAACTCTTAACATCTAAAATATCTCAATTATTTCATTGTTTCTCCTTCACTGTCCTCAGCCTACCTTTCCACTGTGAAGGTATTAATATTTATTTATTTATTTATTTATTTATTAAGAGAGAGTGAGAGAGGGAGAAGGGGAGAGAGAGAGAGAGAGAGAGAGAGTTTTTTTAATATTTATTTTTTAGTTATCGGCGGACACAACATCTTTGTTTGTATGTGGTGCTGAGGATCGAACCCGGGCCACACGCATGCCAGGCAAGCGCGCTACCGCTTGAGCCACATCCCAGCCCGGTATTCATATTTATTAGTCTGAAAAAACAACTCAATTTTATCAACTCTAATTTCTATACTTGTTCTGCAGGCTTGAGAAAACCCACACAGAAAGATTAAGATAAATTTCAGAAGCAGACCWATAGGTTCAAAGACAGCATCAATACCACAATTCCAAGTTATATTTTTCTAAAGTTAAGAATTCTACAGATGATAATTCATACCAATGAAAAAGCATAAAAATAAATCCCTTAAACGGATACAGCTTTATGTGAGTATTTAATATATTTTATAATCAATTATAGATCAGATTAATTCTTTTTTTTTTAAAGAGAGAGTGAGAGAGAGAAAGAGAATTTTTTTTTAATATTTATTTTTTAGTTCTCGGCAGACACAACATCTTTGTTGGTATGTGGTGCTGAGGATCGAACCCGGGCCACAYGCATGCCAGGCAAGCGCGCTACCGCTTGAGCCACATCTCCAGCCCCAGATTAATTCTTAAAATAGTATTGTGACAACTGACAAGCTGTTTGGAAAGTATTCGTTATACTATTCTTCACTCCTTACAACAAAATATATTTCAGCTGGATCCAAGATTCAAACATATCTGATATAAATATCATGCATGTTATATATATATAWTATATATATATATATACACAAAAAAAAAACTATTAGAAACACATGAAAGCTAGGTTTTTAATTTTAATTATTTTAGAGTAGGATAAGACTTTCAAATGTAACACAAAGTCAAAAAAATACATATGAATACAAAAATTTTTAAATTTCTCGAAAAAAAATAAAATCATAAATTTATAAAGCTGAGAGTCAAAAGGTAAATTTTTATTAAGGCCAGGTATAGTGGACTTGGAAGCTACTTGGGAGGTTGAGGCAAGAGGATGATGGCATATTCAAGGTGAGCCTGGGCAACACCATGTAGTAAGATCCTAGACAGTCAGTCAACAAATAACATTATGGGGAGAAAATGCTTGCCACAAATTTGACAAGGGACTTTAAGCTCTTAAAAATATAGTTAAGGGGCTGAGATTGTGGCTCAGTGGTAGAGTGCTCGCCTAGCACGGGCGGGACCCAGGTTCAATCCTCAGCACCACATAAAAATAAAGGCATTGTGTTGTGTCCATCTATACCTAAAAAATATATAAATAAATATTTAAAAAATATATATATAGTTAAGTTTATTACCAATTAGGTTTTATTTTTTTATTTTATTTTTTTCAGATAAAGTATGACTTTAAGGCTGAATATTATAGGACAAATATACCTCATATCTTTGCTCCCATGTTAGAATTCTATGATTACAAGATTTTAGTAATTATATGAATGCTCTTGGAATTCTCTTACGTTACTGCTATATATAATTTTTTGGCAATTCTTTTTTTAATTAGTTTTATTTTTAATATAATCTTGTAATTTTACAAGATTTTCTAGATAAGAAAATTCCTTCTAGGAAATCCTTATGTGTTATTTCTTAATATCTACAATTCATCATCTATATACTTTTGTAGAAGGGGCACTAAGACTTGAACCCAGGGCCTTGCACACAGTAGGCAAGTATTCTACCACTGAGCTATATATCCCCAATCCTTTTTTAAGTTTTATTTTGAGATAGGTTCTCCATAAATTGCCCAAACTGGCCTTCAGCTTGGGATCCTGCTGTCTCAGCCTCCTGAGATAGCTGGGATTACAAATGTGTGGCACTATGCATAACACCTATATACCTCCAAAATTATAACTTTATCCTATCTGCTTTGAAGACTTCAAAGAAAATAAAAATAGATTTACAAATAGTTATTTGTAAGTAGAAATTTTAAAAAATAATAATAAAAAGGGAGCTGGGAGTGGTAGCGCATGCCTGTAATCCTAGAGACTAGGGAGGCTAAGGCAGGATGATTCCAAATTTGAGGCCAGCCTCAGCAACTTAACAAGGCCCTAAGTAACTTAGTGAGACCCTATCTCAAAAGAAAAATAAAAAGGGCTGGTAAAGCACCCCTGGGTTAAATACCCAGTACCAAAAAGTTAAATAGATAGATAGATAGATGGATGATAGGAAAGAAGGAAAATAAGAAAGGGAGGGAAGGAGTAAAAATGTTTAAACCATTTCCACCAATGATCCAAACTATGAAAAGTCAGCAGCAGCCATTTCCATCAACTCACCGAAATATAGGTGTGTGGCCAGGCTTTGGTTTGTTCCAGGTAAAGGGTGAAGGAACTGAAAGAAATTGGTCACCAGATGAATCTTTCTTTAAAGAATACTGAGATCCAAGGCCATCATCTACTGAAGTCTCCCGGGATGGTGATAAATTTCCTTGATCATCTGAACAGAGCTCTAATTTTCCTGGTAGTATGGCAGCTTGATCTTCAGAAGTCTTCCTTGTTTTCAGAGGGATATCAGTCTCTACACAGTACTGAAATGGAAAAAGTGCAGGGCCAAGGCCTGATCCACTATGGGTAGAAGCATTGAGCCAGGTATCTTCTGTTATACTTCCCCTAGGGGAGTGTCCAGGAGAAGGAACAGGTGAGTGATGGGGTGATAGGGATCCAGCATAACAAACTTCAGCACTGGAGTGCCGCCGTTTCCCACAGGGTGAAGTGGGCCTTGATGAGGGTCCTGAGGCTGGCCTGGGGCTCAACCAATTCTCATCAGTGATACTAGATCTAGGAGAGTGGCAAGGAGATTGCCTGGGTGACAAGGAGTGTCCAAGTCCATACTGTTGATGCCAGGACTCTTCTCCAGGGCAGCCTCCTGGAGAACCACCTGGAGATGTCAGAGGGGATCCAAGAGTAAATCGGGCAGCAGCTTCATTCAACTCCGAGTCCACATCATCATAAATGTGTGAAAGAGATTCACAAGAAGATGCATCTGAGAACCAGCTCCTAGAAGAGATGCTGCTGGCAGGACTAGGACTAAGGGAAGACTCCCGGTAGGATGGCTCAAGAGGAAGATAGAGATGATCTCTAGAAGGCCTCTCCAAATATTCCCTTTCTGGGTCATTTATCTGTAGATCATCTTCATGTGCATCTGTTTCTTGATGACAGTTAGGAGAGATGGAAGTAATTTGAATACTTGGGCACTCAAAGGGTTTGGGACCACCTAATGGACTGTATTTAGATTCAGGAACATCACCAGTTCCTTCATAGTTTTTGTGACCTTGGAGCTGAAATGATGGTGACAAAACAGAAGAGTGAGACGGTAATCCATGTTGTGGTAAGCAAAGTGGTGAATTTAAAGTAGATGGAGGTGGATCTACATTAAAGATGTAAATGGATGCACAATCATCTGGCTCAAGATCTATGAGGGAAAGCCAAAAAAAAAAAAAAAAAGTCAACAAAACAAGAAATTAGAAGATTCAGGTGTATAACTTACTAGATGAAAACAATAATAATAATCTTTAGAGAAAAAAGTGGGAGGTAGATTAAATGTCACTAGCTCCACTAAAGAGTTGATATTTTTTAAATGCATCTAGTTATTTCTGCAGATATATTATTACATCTTTACATATAATTGCATAATTTTTATTATCACATTCCTAAAAATGATAATCTTACAATATAATCTGAAGATAAACACTTATTAAAAAGATAATCACATCTGTGATCCTAAAAAACAGAATTGCAGGATGATACAATCATATAATTTGAGCTTCATTTGGGATTTGCAGGTTAAAATGGTGTAAAGGATACAATAGTCTTTGAAAAGTGCTTTTGTTGTTGTTGTTTTTTGGGGTGGTGGTGGGGTTTTGTTTGTAGTGCTGGGGATGGAGCCCAGGACCTTATGCACAGCAGGAAAGCACTCTACTATGGTGCTACATCACCAGTCCTTTGTTTGGTGGTGGTGGTGATGGGAGGGTTGTACTAGAGTTTGAACCTTAGGGCCTTGCACATGCTAAGCTCATGCTATATCAATGAGCAACATCTCTGGCCTACACACAAGGGCTCTTTGTTGTTGTTGTTTGGGAGATACTAGGATTGAACCCAAGGCTTAATTAATAACTGAGCCACTTCCCCAGCACTTTTTTTTTTTTTTTTAAACACAGGGTCTCACTAAGTTGCTGAAGCTGGCCTCGAATTTGAAATCCTCCTACCTCAGCCTCCCCAGCTGCCAGGACACAGGTGTGTGCCACATCCAGCTTACATACTAGATTTATTAAAACAAAGGATTATAGACTCAAAATTCAAGAGACCTAGAATACCTCTGCCATTAACTTGAGCTCTGAGTCACATCATTTAATCTAAGCCTCAGTTTCTTTGCAGTAAAATTTCTAAAGTTTTTTTTAACATTTTTTTTTTTTTAGTTGTAATTGGACATAATACTTTTATTTTTATGTGGTGCTGAGGATCGAACCCAGAGCCTTGCACATGCTAGGTGAGCGCTCTACCGCTGAGCCACAACTCCAGTCCCTAAGATTTTTTTTTCATAAAATGTTTATTATAAACACTGATAACTCCTTCCTCTGCAGTCAAATCATCAAGAATTCATATATTTGCTCACAGCAGACCAGGTTACAAGCCATATGATACCAATGGACRCTTTACTTCAGTAGAAAATAATTCAGTGTGGGGTTGGGGATGTGGCTCAGCGGCACAGCACTCGTCTAACATGCACCAGGCCCTCGGTTCAATCCTTAACACCACATAAAAAATAAATAAACAAAATAAAGGTATTGTGTCTAACCAAAAAATAAATATTAAAAAAATAATTCAGTGGGGCTTTTAAATTAATGATTTATCAGTAATTTTCATAAGGACAGAAGTTTAAAACTCGCCCCTTGCTGGTATATTTAACGCAAAATGGGTCCTGTCAGATAACCTACTGAGAGTGTTTGCAACAATATGGGTGTTTTGCAACTTCACTTTTAGGAAGAAGTGATCATTATTATCCATGTTCACAAAGGCGGAAGTTTTAATAAACCCTAGTACAAGGTGCTTGTTAACATCTTCCTCTAAGGAGATCATCAATGGGGAACCAAAAAGAAAACTGTTCACAAATACACCAAAGAGAAGTACAAATGCCTCTGCTCACAAGTCAAGATGATTATGTTGTCTCATTACATTATTATACCTGGAAAAAATATACTTCTTTAAACTTCTGATGTTGCTATCAATAGTAGGGTCCTTTAATAATCATTGTAAATGATAGATTCTGGAACTTTGGGGGGATAGGCAGGAGAATGTAATGGGGACTAAATCCAGAGTCCCTCTACCACTGAGCCACTTCCCCAGCCCTATTTTAACTTTGAGACAGTCTAAGTTGCCAAGGTTTGCCTGGAACTTGTGATCCTCCTGCCTCAGCCTCCTGAGTTACTAGGATCACAGGAGTTCATGGCTATACCCAGTCACTGATCAAATTTGGACAAGTTACTTCACCTGGTTGAATCTCAATGTTCTGAACTATCAAACCTGTCAGTAGCTGAGTATGGTATCATCTAAAACATATAGGATCAATTTAAGATACGCAATTTAATATAATGACTAATATTTGGCAAGAACACAATACATCTTGCTAAGTTTGAGTTAGTGTACCCCAAAGGTCCATGTGTTAAAGGAATGGTTGCCTGCCTGTGGTGCTACTGGGATATAGTGGAAACTTTAAGAGATGGGGCTTAGGAGGAAATCTGGTCACTGACAGCATGCTTTGAAGGGGATACTAGAACTCTGTTACTGTTCTCTTAGTTTCTCAGCTGTCATGAGTTGAGAAGCTTCCTCTGCCATACACTCCTGACACGAAGTGCTGCCTCACCATGGACCCAATGCAACTGAGCCTTTAACCAGGGATCCCAACTTCCAAACCTGTGAGCCAAAATAAACCTTTCCTCCCTTTAAGTTGATTTATATTAGGTTATCTATTACAGTGAAAGAAAACTGACTTAACACATCAATTACCTTTTATTTCCCCTTTTTAAATTTAAGATGGGTATATACATATATTTTTTTAAATATGGAACAACTTACAAATTTGCACAGAGGGCATGCTAATCATCTTCATATTATTTCAATTTTATCATATGTACTATGGAAGCACTATGCACGCATGCACATTCTCTCTATATATACACACACATACACACACATACACATACACACACATACACACACACACACATGAATATTTTAATTCTGAAATATTTCTATATCAACCACAACAGTTTTTGAAGTACACTATTCTTTCTCACCTCTCTACTTAAACAGAAGTAGAAAGTAAGTGTTCCAAAAAAGAAAACCCATATGTGATTGGGAAAAAAAGCTGAAGAAAAAAAGCTGTTAAAAATTAAAACCAAAACAAAACAAAACAAAAAACACCGGGGCTTGGGATGTAGCTCAGTGATAGAGCACTTGCAGAGCATACATGAGGACCTGATCCCCAGCACCTCCACCCCCAAAATCCTCGCCAAAACACACACACACACACACACCAAAAAAAAAAAAAGAAAAAGAAAAAATGAAGGGCTTTAGTGAAAATGTAGAGTGACTGCTAATGGATATTAGGTTTCTTTTTAGGAAAATGACTGATTTAGAACACAATATTCTAAAATTGGCTCTGACTGTAGTGATGGCTGCACAATTCTGTGAATATACTAAAAATCGCTTAGTGTTACATTTAAAAGGATTTAATTCCCAGCACTGCAGAAAAGCAAAACAAAACTCCGAATTTGTTACCGCAACACAGACTATTAAATATTTATTTATTTTAGTTCTCGGCAGACACAACATCTTTGTTTGTATGTGGTGCTGAGGATCGAACCCGGGCCGCATGCATGCCAGGCGAGCGCGCTACCGCTTGAGCCACATCCCCAGCCCGCAACACAGACTATTAGAATGACAGAATAATACAAGGTCTAGAAACAGATAAAGTACACAGAATAAATCTCATAAGCTTATAAAGACAGAATAATCTCATAAAACTGGGACAAAGGACAAACTTTTTTTTTGGGGGGGGGCGGGGGACTGGGGACTGAATCCAGGGTGCACTTCACCACCAAGCTACATCCCCAGCACTTGTTGAGACAGGTTCTGCTAAATTGCTAAGGGTCTAGACTTGCTAAGTTGCGGAGGTTAGCCTCGAACTTGCAACCCTTCTGCCTCATTTTTCCTAAATTTCTGGAATTACAGGTGTGCACCACTGTGTCCAGCTTTTTCTATGGTATTCTTACCAAACATAAAAATAAAAAAATAAACTCACCGGGCACAATGTCACACACCTGTAATCTAGCAGCTCGGGAAGCTGAAGCAGGAGGATCTCGAGTTCAAAGCAAACCTCAGCAACTTAGTGAGGCCCTAAGCAACTCAGTGGGACCCTGTCTTTAAATAAAATACAAAAAGGGCTGAGGATGTGACTCAGTGATTGAGTGCCCCTGAGTTCAATCCCTAGTACAAAACAACAACAACAACAACAAAAAAAAAAACCCCACAACCTCAATCTAATAATGAGGAAACATTAAACAAACCCAAACTTACAGATTCTACAAATAACTCATCAAAAGTATGAAGACCATGAAAGACAAAGAAAGAACGAGAAAAATAGTCACAGAAGAGACAACAACTAAATGCAATGTGGGATCTTAAGATTAGATGCTGTAACAGAAAAAGGACATTCATAGGGAAACACTTCAAAATGAAATGGCTTTGGGGGTTTTTCTGTTCGGGTTATTTTCAGTACTGGGCATTAAAACAGAGGTACAATACCACCAAGCTACAATCCCAACCTTATTTTGAGACAAGTTCTTACTAAATTGCCCAGGTTGACCTTGAATTTGTAATCCTCCAACCTCAGTCTCCCCCAAAATTACAGGAATGCATCATCTCATCCAGCCCAGAGGTTTTTTTTTTTTTAAAAAAAAAAAAAAAAGAAAGAAAGAAAAACAATCAAAGAGGCTGCTAAAGAATGTACCATAAGCTACAATGGAATATTAACAAGATAGATATTAAGGAATATCTTTCACCACAAGAAAGAATGTGGTGAAGAAAAAAACTAAACTTGTGGATAAAAAGAACGGTGTATAAACCAAACATGTCACGTGGATAACAAGAAAGACGAAACACTGARTGAAGAAGCAGAACAGGGATTGGAGGGGAAGAATAAGACAAAAGAATGTGCCTCAGGAAATAATACAGAATTGTAACATAATAAATTTATGTTAAGTTACCACATGTGTGGCTGTTCATCACAGCAGCAGTTCACAAATGAAAACCTGATAGAAATGTACATTTCTGATCCTACCACAGACCTACAGAATCACAAATTTTGGGTGTAGGGCTCAGCAATCTGATGTGACCGTTCTCCAGGAAACTGAG